AAATATGTATAATAATTACATATCTTTTACTTAGTATAAATGTTTTTTTTTTTTTTTTCTAAAATTAAGTATACATTTTTGTAATGCATTATCATTTAATAAAGGTATGGACAATAAAACACAGATATGTTTCTATGGATACCAAACTTAAAGCACAATTATAGGTATAAGCAAAAGCAAATAAGAAGAAGAAGAAGAAGAAGAAGAAGAAGAAGAAGAAGAAGAAGAAGAAGAAAGAAAGATGGAAAGGGGGGAAAAAAAAGAAAGGGGAAAATAATAATAAACTGATGAACTAAAAGATAAAAAATAATATCAAAAATAAAATAAGAGTAAAATAAAAGTAAGCAAGCCATCTAAAAGGTTCCCATATCTAAAGTTCATCCATTCACAGGAAATGAAAAACTGGTCCCTCACTCTGAACATTGGAGTTCTCCAGTTCATTCACTAATTCAATCTTTTATTCTATTCACATGGCTCTTAATACTTGTCCTTAAATGTGTCTGGATTTTTAAAAACTTATATACAACATTTTCATAATTTTTTATCAAAATGTGTTGCCTTCAAGCACTATCACACTATCATTTTCTCAAAAGTCATTTTAAAAGGCTAGTCATACCACCCCCAAGGTAAGGTAGAGCACATCAAAATTTCCTTAATGTCCTATTACCAGCACTTACCTACTACCTTTAGAATGTTACTTTTTGTCGCGTAGTCAACATTTTTCATCCTAAGCTCTTTTAACTGGGATCCTGACAGAATCAAGAGCTTAGATACAATAGAGTGTGTAAGTGGGCCAAGCAAATTCAGTTTTGTTGGTGACAACTCCAAGGATGATTTTGCAAACATTCCGTAAATCAACATCTGCCAACGTCGACACACTGTCCAAAGAGAGGTAATATGTAAGTCTACATAAACTACAAAAAATCTTTGAATGCTCCATCATATAGCCAATATTTGAGTCTCTATTTTAAAAAACTGTATACTATTGAGGTCTTGGTTTTGTGCATTTTCCCCTAAAATTCCTAATATGGGCAAAAAAATTAGCACTTATTTAAAGACTCACATGGACGAAACAAAGAAAAATCAAAATACTGCCTAAATCATAAAATGCCAGAACTAACCTCTCTCACATGAAATAATTTGTGTCAGTCGTAGATACTCCAGTATATGAATTAATACATCATCTACTAATACATGTATTGATGGGGCATCTGGGTTTGGGGGACTCAAGTCGAAGTCCCGATCAGAGAGGGCGTGCCGCACATATTTCTCATCACCTGGCATCCTAATCTTCTTCCAAGCTGGTCTGATCTTCATCTTAGAGCCATATAGATAAAGTTCAATTGCCTTCAAATTCAGTAGTCTGAAATTTTGAAAAATAAAATACACTTTCCTTGTGTTCTTCAAACTTTATCCTAGTGTCCCAGTTTGATTTCAAGCATTACCAATACCACCACATTAACATGGAAGATTTTTACTAAATTGAATTAGTCACTAAAAAAAATAGGGGAGGAAGGGAAGTATGAACAAGAAAATAAAACTACTTACGTATCTACATCTTCTTTTGTTCTAACTGTTGCAAAGCCAAAGCCTTTATTTCTTTTGGTAATTTTGTCCTTAACTGTAAATGCATTTACCACCGGAACATAACTGGATAGGACATCATACAGGTCTTTGTCACTAACCTGCAAAAAAAAAAATAATAATAACAATAAAAAAAAAATAATAAAAAATAGCATCAAGTAAAATGCAATATAAAATTAATACAAAAACAATGATGAAAAGCAAATGGGAGGTCACCCTTTGCGTTCAGTTACTTAGTACATACTGCTGATGGCATAAGAAAAACTCTTGCTTACTACACCAATATTCCTAGTCCTACTGCCCACAATGAGAAAGGTTAGTCAAACAACGGATGATTTTTTTTTCTATGACACTTTCATTATGAACCAGACATATAAGCTGTCCATAATATTTGTGGAACTTTGTGGAGGTTGTCCTCAAAAGCGTTGCAAATCACTAACATAGTTACACAACTTTCATGTCTTTTTTTCTTGGACCACTCCTTGTATTTTGTTGCTTCACTTGGCTTTTTCAACCTTTTGTACTTTAAGAGAGATAATAATATGATGTTGAAAACATATAAACTTGACATTTTCATGAACATTTTTTCCATCTACAGTATAATGTTTACTGGATTAAAAGCATTGCTAAATATATCATGTAATATTGAAGGCCTGATGACTTTCTTTAAAATAAATTTCCTTATTCTTATATCATCATTATTATATTATTATCTCTTAGCCTCCAGATGACAAGGGGTTCATATCATGGCTGATTTGGTCATGGTTCCATATGATGTGTTATTCACATCATGACTAACTTGGATGTGGCTCTGGCAATGGGTCATTCATGTCTTGTTACAATGATGGGTGAGTTACATTTTATATTGTTCTTTATAAGGAACCTTCATGCCCACACCACATGCCCTAAGTCACTG